TTTGGGGGTCTTTTTGAGACAGGGTCTCCCTGTAGCCCCAGCTGTCCTGGAACTCACCATGTAGACCAGGCTGGCCTTGAACTCACAGAGATCCACCTGCCTCTGCCTCCCGAGTGCTAGGATTAAAGGCATGCCCCACCATGCCCGGCTATTTTTTAAATTTTATGTGTATAAGTGCATTCCTTGCATGTAAGTAAGTGCACCCATGTTGTGCAATGCCTGTGGAGGTCAGAAGAGAGTCTGATCCCCTGGAGTATGTTAACCATGTGGTAGGAATCAAACCCAGATCCTCTCCAAGAGCACTCTGTAAGAGCAGCCAGTGCTCTTAACTGCTGAGCCATCTCTCCAGTCCTCCTTCTGTGGCCTTTAAAAAAATTATTTATTATTTTAATTTCATGTGTACGTGTGCATTACAAGCACACCAGTGTCATGCAGTGCCCACGGAGGACAGAAGAGGTGTCGGATCCCCTGGAACTGGAGTTATGGACAGTTGTTAGCTGCCATGTGGGTGCTGGGATTCGAACCTGGGTCTTCTGCAAGAACAGTCGGTGTTCTTAACTGCTGAGCCATCACTCTAGCTCCTTCTGTGGCCTTTTAAAAAAATATTATTTTTATTTTATGTGTATGAGTGTATTGCTTGCATGTGTGCAAGTGCACTAATGTCATGCAATGCCTTTGGAGGTCAGAAGAGGGCACTGGATTCCCTGGAACTGGAGTTACAGGCAATTGTCAGTCGTCATATGGGTGCTGGAAATCAAACCAGGGTCCTTTGCAAGAGCAGCCAGTGCTCTTACCCTTGAGCCATTTTCTCCAGCCTCCCCTGCTGTGGCGTTTTAAAGAAAGTGTACAAGTTGTCAGTTCCTGAATCAGTAGCTGCTGACCCTTAGAAAGGTGAAGTTCCCATCCTAGCTATTATAAATGACTAAGTAGATGCTTATGCACAGAGCCACTATGTGGAATAGCAAAACACTAGAAATAATTCAATGTTTACAATGTGTGACTGGTTAAGTATATCATTTTATATCAATATAATGATACAGAACTTGGCCATAGAGAAACCTAACACTGGTTACCTCTAATGAGGGAATGTGGGTGGCTAGGGCATGGGCACAAGATTGGAAACTTTTCATTATCTTAATGCTTTTAAAATTCTGAACAATGTAGAGATAATACTTTTTTAAAAAAACAAGCCAGATGAGGTAGCAGACATCTGCAATCCTGGCATTTGGGAGGCTGAGGCAGGAAGTGTGCTTGCTGAGAGTTCATGGCAGCCTGGGCTACAGAGCAAGGCTGGCCTGGCCTGGGTTATACAGTGAGACTCTTACCTTAAACAAAACAAAACTTCAAAAATATAAAGAAGGGTATTCCACCCCTCCCCTGCCAGAGGCAACCCTCTTACCTGGACAGGTGAGATTGCTTTTTACTGGCTGATCTTTGCATCAGAGAAAGGAGGACATCAGAGAAGAGACCCAGGAGAGAGTGATGCAGGAAAAGAGGAAGAAAAAGAAAGAAAAATACAACATAAACAAGACAAGACACTGGAGACATCTGGCACAAAACAAAACCAAAAACCCCAACAGAGACGAGGTAGGCCAACATAGTGATGAGCTTATTAAAATACAAATTTACAGCTGGGTGGTGCTCACCTTTAATCCCAGCACTGGGAGGCAGAGGCAGGCAAGGCCAGCCTGGTTTACATAGTGAGTTCCAGGTCAGCTGTGGCTACAGGGAGACCCTGTCTCAAAAAGAAACGACAAAAACAAACAAACAAACAAAACAACAACAAAAAATAAAATGGGAATTCACCCATTTGGCTGTTTAAAATCAGAGGAAGGTGGTCCTCTTTCCAAATCAAGCCATCTAAATAGAAGTATATCTAGCCAGTCTGATGACGTCTAGTTAAATGTCTCTCTTAAGTCTTGCCTTCCTGTAGCATGAGCACCCAATGAGAGCTGCTTGTCTGTACTCTGCTCAGATAAGGCTGGACGGTTCATGGAGGCAGAGGCAGACTTACTGCTCATATCCCTGGTATTTGACATTATAGGTACTCGGTCCCTGCTTTCTACTGCAATGGTTTCTGGGTTTAATCACAGTCCTCAGCCTTCTCTTTCCCCTATTACTACAACTATAAGCTAGAAAAGAGGGTAAGCTTCTAGAAGCTGCAACTTCTGTGTTTCCTCAAATTACACTGGTTCTACCATTCCCTGTCCACGGCCTGCCTCCACCTTGGTAAAGCTTTATTCATAATGTAATAAAGGTTCTATTATGTTCTAGAATGTACTTATGCTTATTCAAACAATAAGCCACAACCACTTGTACTTACCTAAATTTCAAAATAAAGCAGAAAATTCAATCTTTCACTCATATCCACATTTAATGTATATACTAGCTACGTATCATTAGAGGCCATTATAATGGGCAGTGAAGAAAAGAAAAGAAAATTTCCATCATGGCAGGGAATATTATTGAACAGCACTGTTCCAGACCCTGCCACCCAGACAGTTAGGACACAAACAAGTGGACGAGGAAACCTGCAGAGTTTTAGTGCAAACCCCAGGATGAAAAGTCTAATTATAAAGGGCATCTTGAAAAGGGCTTTTCAAGATCTTTTGTTCCAACTGCTCCTCTGCTCTCTTCAGTGTACTCATAACCTTCCCCACTCTATGCTGGGTTTGAATTCCTACACAACTGCTTCCAGAGAATGTCCACCTGTACCTTGGGACACCTCGGGCCTCCTCATCTTGCTCTTCTTTACCCTGGCAGGAAACTGGCTTTCCATATCCCTATTAAAACTCACAAGATTTATTGGAACTTGGCAACTCGTTCCTTTTTGTTTTTTAAAGGTAGGCACTGAATCCATGGCCTAGCATAGCATGCATTCTATCAGAGTCCAAGCTAGTTAGGTGTGAATTTGAGCTGGGGTGTGAGCAGGGCTATATAATTGAAAACAAATGAAGTAGAAGTTCATGTATCTTCTGAAGAGCACTGTTGGGGAGCATGGACAAAGACCACCTCTTCATGATCAGTCATTGAAAGTTACATTAAATAAAATTAAAGGCTACGGCAGTTGTGATAGGGGACAAGCAGGCTAGTTTGGTAGTTTGGCATGAGACAGAGGTTGTGAGAAGAAAAAAGACTTTAGTTGTGTCCTTTCTTTCCTCCATCAATATATAGCAACAGCGTTTGGGTTCCACTTAGCCTCAGCCTGGGGTATGGTGATTTCCCCTCAAATATGCCTGCCTCTGCCCACCAAGTGCTGGGATTAAAGGCACACACTATTGTGCCCAGCTCTGAATAGTTTCAAACTGCATTAAAGTGGAAGGAGCAGATGAGTATGTTTTTACTCTAGGTCCACTAGTTAACATTTGCTTGTCACATTCTCTGCCCTTCACTCTTCTCTATTTTCAATTATTTATTTATTTTTATACTGGGGAGAGTGTGTATAGAGGTCAGAGGAGTGAGCTTTCTCCTTCCACCAGGTGGGTTCTAGGGACTGAACTTGGGTTGCCAGGCTTGGTGGCAAGTGCCTTTACTCACTGAGTCATCTTGCCAGCCCTCTCTCTCTTTTTGTGGAGTGTGTGTGTACACACCTGTGCCAGTGAATGTGTGCACAGGAGGCAGAGGTTGATATCAGGTGTCTTCCTCTATTACTCTCTACCTTACTTTTTGAAACAGGGTGTCTTACTGAACCTGGAGTTCACCAATCTGACTAGGCTCGTTGGTCAGCAAGTCTGCTGATCTGCCTGTCTCTGTACCTACAGGTGTCCCTGGCTTTTACATGGGTGCTGGGGAATCCCAACTCAGATCCTTATGCTTACAAAGCAAGCAATCTACTGACTGAGAATCTCCACTGAGCCATCTCCTAGTCAGTCCACATTTACTTTATCTTTCTAACAGTACACATTTTTTTCCCATTTGAAAGCTGCAGATAGACATCATGATTATTTTACCTCTAACTGCTTTTAATATATGCCTCTAAGAACTATATAAATACTGTGCCATCAGCATACACAGTAAATTTAACTTTGATATATCACCTCATATACAATCGGGGAACAATGGTCTTATCAATGTTCTTTAAAGCTATTCAACTGCCTCAATCCAAGATTTAATCAAAACTCTCAATATTCATACCATGTGTCTTTCAGATTCATTTAAATCCAAGTCCCCCTCCATTTTCTTGGTTTTGCATAACAGTGTGTGTGTGTGTGTGTGTGTGTGTGTGTGTGTATGTAGGTCAGAGGTCAATGTTAGGTGTCTTCTTCAGTCATTCTCAACTTGTTTTGAAACAGGGTTTCTCACTGAACCTGGAGCACAACCATTCAGCTAGGTTGTTTGGCCAGTGAGCTCAAAGTCTGCCTCCACAGATCTGGGATTATACATACATGTTATTACATCAGCTTTTTACATGGGTACTGGGATCTGAATTCAGATCCTCATGCTTACACAGCAAGCACTTTGCTGACTGAGAATCTCCCTGGCCCCACATAATGATATTATGAAGACTTCAGGCCTGTTATCTTGTTGAATGAATGGTCTGCAATAGGGAACCGTTTAGTGTCTCCTCACGATTAAAATCATATATTTTTTATTATTTTTATTTTATCTGTATGAATGTACTGTGTGCATGTAAGTGCACCCATGTTGTGCAATGCCCACAGAAGTCAGAAGAGGACATTGAATCCCTTGGAACTGGAGCTACGTTTTTAGCTGCCATGTGGGTGCTGGGAAGTAAATCCAGGTCCTTTGCAAAAGCAGCCATGCTTTTAACTGCTGAACAATCTCTCCAGCCTCAGATAAAATATTTTTGAGACATAATCTTACTCTGTAGTTCAAACTGGCCTGGCCAGGAACTCACCAGGCACCCCAGGCTGGTCTCAAATGAGTTCTCCTCTTGCCTCCTTCCCCAGCACTGTGACTGCAGGCACATGCTACCACACCCATCCAGGCTACTTTTTCCTTGGCGGGCCTCGAACTCACAGAGATCTGCCTATCTTTGCTTCCTGAGCACTGGGGTTAGAGGCATATGCCACTGTGCCTAGCTTTAGGTTAAACATTTTAAAAGATTATAAGTGATGTTGTTTTGCTGGTCCTATTTGTGATGTGCAATTTGATTACTTGAGATTTTTCAACAGTAAAAATCTTTTCTTCCATCTGCAATCTGTGGTGTGTTTTGAGGATCCAGTTCTCCAACAACCACTTACTCAAGAATTTACTATATATTATTATTATTACTGAAAATATTTATTTTTATGTGTGTGTGTGTGTGTGTGTGTGTATGTGTGTGTATGTGTGTGTATGTGTGTGTATGTGTGTGTATGTGTGTGTATGTGTGTGTATGTGTGTGTATGTGTGTGTATGTGTGTGTATGTGTGTGTATGTGTGTGTATGTGTGTGTATGTGTGTGTATGTGTGTGTATGTGTGTGTATGTGTGTGTATGTGTGTGTATGTGTGTGTATGTGTGTGTATGTGTGTGTATGTGTGTGTATGTGTGTGTATGTGTGTGTATGTGTGTGTATGTGTGTGTATGTGTGTGTATGTGTGTGTATGTGTGTGTATGTGTGTGTATGTGTGTGTATGTGTGTGTATGTGTGTGTATGTGTGTGTATGTGTGTGTATGTGTGTGTATGTGTGTGTATGTGTGTGTATGTGTGTGTATGTGTGTGTATGTGTGTGTATGTGTGTGTATGTGTGTGTATGTGTGTGTATGTGTGTGTATGTGTGTGTATGTGTGTGTATGTGTGTGTATGTGTGTGTATGTGTGTGTATGTGTGTGTATGTGTGTGTATGTGTGTGTATGTGTGTGTATGTGTGTGTATGTGTGTGTGTATGTGTGTGTGTGTGAGTGTGTGTGTGAGTGTGTGTGTGTGTGTGTCTGCCATGTGAGTGCAAGTGCCCATGGAGGCCAGAAGAGGGTGTCAGATTCCCTGGAGCTGTACATACAGTCACAGGTAGTTGTAAGCTGCCTTATGTAGGTGCTGGGAAGTGAATTTGGGTCCTCTACAAGAGCATTAAGTGCCCTTACCCACTGAGTCATCCCTCCAGCTCGTTATCTATCACGGCTCTTTGATAGGATCACTTCCATCATTCTATTTTAAGCTATGAGTAGGTAATCACATTCCTTATATGTGATAGTTCATTATCCTTCTTTCTCCCAGAACTGGAGACTGAATCGAGGGGCCTTCTGTATGCTAACTAATCACTCTACTACTGAGCTACAACTCAAATTTGCCCCCATCTTTAAAAAAAAAAAGTTAAAAGTGTTGGTTCCTTTTCCTGTAAGCAGCCTGAAGTAGTCCATGAAAATGGTGCACTTGATCCAGGAACCCCACAAAATTATACAAATCAAGAGGCTCAAATCTGCTGGGCATGGAGGCACACACCTTTAATTCCCAGAACTCGGGAGGCAGAGGCAGGTGAATCTCTCTTGA